GATTTCGGATGACTGGGATTCGGATGACTGGGAATTTCGGATGACTGGGATTTCGGATGACTGGGATTTCGGATGATGGAATTTCGGATGACTGGATTTCGGATGACTGGGATTTCGGATGACTGGGATTTCGGATGACTGGGATTTCGGATGACTGGGATTCGGATGACTGGGATTTCGGATGACGGATTTCGATGACTGGATTTCGGATGACTGGAATTTTCGGATTTCGGATGACTGGAATTTCGGATGACCGGGATTTCGGATGACTGGAATTTGACGATTTCGGATGACCGGGATTTCGGATGAATGGGATTTTGAATGACTGGAATTTCGGATGACCGGGATTTCGGATGAATGGGATTTCGGATGACCGGAAATTCGGATGACCGGGAATTCGGGTGACTGGGATTTCGGATGATGGAATTTCGGGGAATTCGGGTGACTGGGATTTCGGATGACTGCAGTGAGAGAAAGAAAGAGAGAGAGAGAAATAAAGTCCAAACTCTGATTTAATACACATAACATCTCAAGCGTAGTATTTAAACGAATCAGTATGTGTAAAATAAACGAAAAAAAATCCGAGAACCTACGAAATCGGAATCTACAAGTGCACAAAGTGAGGGAAGAAATCAGAGAACATAAGAGATCGGAACTTACGCATTCATAAGATCAAGGGAGATCTCAGGGAACAAAAGAGATCGGAACCTACCCACCTTTTACCTTATTTCGCAACCTCGCGTCCGAATGCGTTAGATTGAAAAAAAAAAAAAAAAAACAATAACAACAACAAAAAAACAATATCCTTTTACAGTATCCTTTTATGTGGAATTTCTTTCGTGGTCATAACATTTTCAAAACTGTCAAATAATTCCTGAAGTCATACTTTAATTAGGTCTCTAGGGCTCTAACTTCACTCTAACTTACGTAGAACAACTTAACTCCGCTTGAGTTCCAAAGCGCTAAGGTGAGCAGCTTACCTGGGAACACAGTGTAATGGATTTTTTTTTTTTTAATGTATGGATATGACTCGGATATAGTCGTCATAAACATATAACGACTATATTTAATTGTACATTTAATTGTTTCTAATTAGTACTAAAACTAAGGTATTGTAAAGATGGACAATTCACTGTTGAGCACACAAACAAACACGCCATATACACGCACACAACCGCGCGCGCACACACACACACACACACACACACACACACACATCTCCGAACGTCGAAGCCAAAGCTAAAGGAAACGAACATACGGGAGGCACTCCAATAACTCAGAGGAATGTATGGCTCACAAATCTTACTTTATGATAAACAATTTCCGTCAAACTATGTGAATGCTGCCTGGAATTTATTACGATTTTGTTAATAATATTGCAACGAATGGGTTAAATTTCGCTGTTACGAGTTTAATCTAGTTTATCAATAAAGCCGTGATGTCTGAGTTAATTGAATTTCGCTGTGTGATTTTTTTTTTTTTTTTTTTTTTTACATTTTTATTAATAATGCTGTGATGTAGAGATTAAATTTCACCAAATAGAATTCACTCTATGTATCGATGTATCCATTTATTAATCCATAAACTCCTTTAATTAAACCAAAAAATCTAAAAGTACCATCGCACTTACACATATTGCATTACGCGTGTGCAGAAACGACCCCCCCTCCTCTCTTGCCTTATAAGAACAACAGACAGAGGAAAACCATCACAAAGTGCACTCTTCTTTTGCATAAAATAATAATAATAATAATAATATCCGCTATTCTTCCTCATCATCTTGCCCACCGTAAAAAAAAAAAAACCTTCTGATATTCCTCAATTATACTTCTGCATCCTTTCACCCACCGGAGAAACCTGCAAATTGGCCCATTAAATATTCTATATCTTAGGGCCCTTTTTTTTTTACAAGACAGCCGCTCCATCTTTTTAAAATTTCCCGGTTGCTATGGTGATGGCGTCTCTTCCAGCTGATGTTGCAGAGCTGGGTCGAGGTCGCATGTTTATCACCTTTTCCCCGGCGTTCGCAAACCGCGGGAGCCGCTCGTTCGCTCTCCGGGCTGAGACCCTCCGGTGGGACGGGCTTGTACTGTACATACACGTGCATGCTTTGGACACGGAAACTTGGATTTGGATAAATTTGTATAAATGTTCTGTGCGTGTTTGTTGGTGTATATTTGTATATCATTCTCGTTATCATTGTTATTATCATTATTATTAATATCATTATTATTATTATTATTATTATTATTATTATTATTATTATTATTATTATCGTTACCATCAACATTTTTATCATCATTGTAATTATTATCATTTTTTTATCATCATTGTAATTAATATTATTATCAACTTTGTTATTATCATCATTGTCATCATAATTATCTTTATTATTATCAACTTTATCATTATCATCATTGTCATCATAATTATCTTTATTATTATCTTTATCATTATCATTATTGATATTATTATCATCATCATCATTATAATAATAATAATATATTATTGTTATTATTATAATAATCATAATAATAATAATTATTATTATTATTGTTATTATTATTATTATTATTATTATCATTATCATCCTCATTATTATTATCATCAGTATTATCATTATCATTATTACTATCATGATCATTAATATCTTTATCATCGTTATGATTATCATTGCCATTATCCTCTTTTAACAATTGACGTCATTATCAATATCATTACCGCCATCTGCATGAGAAACATTATCATTACTACTTTCGCAATTACTACTTTTGCCATTACCTACATCATTTATAGTCGTATCATCATTCTAAGCGTCGTTTTCATCATTATAATCAATATCATAATTTTTGCTGTTATCCTTGCCATTATCACCGTTGTTATGAATTATTATCACCATTATCATCGTTATCATCACCGTTGTTATCCTTATTACCATCATTATCACTGTTACTGTCATTATCAGCATCATCACCTTCACCGGACTTCTTATACTTTCGCAAGAAATTCCACATCCAAACTTTAACAAGAAGTCCCTTTCATTCTGGCGCTCTGCTGGCAACGCGGTGCAATAATTTCGCGTCGAACCACATGTGCTATAACGTTAGAGTTATGTGTATTGTTAATTACTCTCCTAGGTAGGTTTCATTTTCAGTATCTTTTATTTTATATGACTAAGATGATGCAAGGGATATTGTTATTGTGAATTAAATATTTATATGCTGAAGACTGTGAAGTACCTGTTGGCGGGGAATTGCAAGTTGTGAAATGACAGTAATAATGATGGCGGTGAATTTGTCGCTTCGCAGTGTTGCAAAATCGGATAAAACCTGCAGCTCCTTTCGGAATTCGGAATGCTTTGTGGTGGAGGAACATGCTGCAACGTCCTCTTACTGCCTGTTGCAAAATCACTGTATATGAGCAGATGTTATATAGAATCTAGGTGCATTTCAGTCAAATATGAATCTGGTGATTTTCCACAGTAACGCTTGGCTAAAAGTTACTGCTGTTTGTTCAAGATCTGTTCAAAATAACGCTGTATCATTTCCACGATAGTTTGATTGTACGATGAAACTACTATTGCACATTGAAACTGGGTGATCACGTACTAAATGTTTTCATACTAGTTTATCAGCTTGTTCTCCCTACTTCAACACTATTCTTAGAAAAGAAGAAGTGTATTTACATATTTCTAATAACGTCGGCGATGTCGTCGTGAAGTTCTGATGCAAATATTTGAAGAGGAAAGTTCCATGCGTGGAGGTCTGTAAGTAAATAAAGAGATATGTAAGTTTTATTAAAATGCATCTCTAGTAACTGTCCTCCCTTTTATCTAGATTCCGTGCATCGCTTACAGTGTTTGATATTACTTTCGAACTGTACCCTTTCAACTTAACATGTATGTTTTCAGCTTAGCTCTTGATATCGCGCTATTTAAGTATGTGAAGCGAATTAAAAGTTTTATTCTTATTCCTACAATGGAGGCATCTGGACCGGGTCTAATGTAAAACGCTTAGGAAAAAAAAAAAAAAATGTGCGCAACTTAGATAAAATTACCCATTCTTAACCAAGTGTAGGAGCGACACGAAGGGAAAACATCAGCATAAGTTATCGTTCCAGTTATGCTGACAATCATGGCGTTATGCAAGGAAAAAGAGAGTGAATTATAGCACGGCCATGGAAAATACGGGCAAAGTTGGAACGGGGTATGTTAATGGTTTAATGGTTGAACCGCCATGGAATTAGTAGAGGTTAAAGCCCCGTCGCCTTTAACGTTGCTTGGTGCGGAGTAATTCCAGGAGGGTTTTCGTGAAGTAAGCAGCGTCATTTAGGGGGACCTGGAGTCGCCACTAGATTTTCATATATATTCACACCGCAAAACAGAGACTGAGAAAAGTTTGGGGGACGACTTAAGGACAGCAATTTGTCCGACGAAATCAGAATTTTTAAGTAGATAGGTTTTTAGTAGACCTGGTTTGAAGTTAGTTATAAGGTTGTGTGCTACCTTTTTTTTCTTTTTTTCTTTTTTTTACTTTCTTTTTCATGTTTTAATGTTAAAGTCCACCAAATATGTCTTTCGCAATATATTTCTTACTCGAGTCATTTTCAAATATTTTCCCATGTATATACACACGCTTATACACATGTATACATACATGCACATATAGATAGATGTGTCTGTATCTTTCTATGTACATGTATATACGTGTGTCTATATATACCTATCTATATATCCATCTATCTAGCTAGTTATGTATGTTTTTGTGTGCGAGTATGTATGTATGTATGTACGCGCGCGCACACACACACACACATATATATATATAAGTATACATACGGATGTGCGTGTATGTGTATACCTAGGTAAGCAGATATATAGATGGGTAGATAGAATTAAATCAATGCATAAACATGATACACATTTATAGTAAATGTAATTCCATCAATCTATGTGAATACTTCAACAAAAGTATATTTAAAGTGCGTTCTCTTTCCCGCAGGCAGTACCTCAATTTGGCTCACCGTCACTTTCACGATTGAACGCTACGTCGCAGTTTCTCATCCAATCAAAAGAAAGGTTAGTCGAAGAAGAACATTGTGATTGGTCCGCTGGAATTAAGGACACCACCTTGGTAAATGATGTGTTACTTTATTTCTTCCATTCCCTGTTTCACTTTCTTTCGTTTTCTCTCACTGTTCTAGTCTCTTTCTCTCTACTCTCTTTTACTATCTTTCTCTTTCTACTCTCTTTTACAATCCCTCACTTCTCTTTTACTTCCTTGCACTTTCTATCTCTCTCCTTCCCCCTCTGTCTGTCTGTCTCTCTTTCACTCTCTCTCCTTCCTTCACTCCCCCTGTCTGCCTCTCTCTCTCTCTCTCTCTCTCTCTCTCTCTCTCTCTCTCTCTCTCTCTCTCTCTCTCTCTCTCCCTCCTCCCTCCCCCCCCCCCTCTTTTCATTTGCCGTCTGATAGAATACCACAGAAAGTCAAGTAGGCCAAATAATACGGGTCTGAATGGCTGACTGAATGGTTGTTTCCAGGGGCCTGCGCTCATATTGTCTTGGGACTGAACAAGAATTCCACAGATAATCAGATCTTCGATAAATTGAGGAACATCTGGTGATATCCGGCTTTGGTGGTTTGGTTTAGTAGATGGTTTGAGAGAAAGGGGATGGGCAGGAAATATATATATATATATATATATATATATATATATATATATATAGAGAGAGAGAGAGAGAGAGAGAGAGAGAGAGAGAGAGAAAGAGTGAGAGAGTGGTAGGCAGGTAAAAAGATGAAATGAAAAATGAAAACAAATAGCGAAAATAGCGACAACAAAAAGAAAGACAGAGAGAGAGAGAAGGTAGAGGCAAGAAAAAAACAAAATATATATAAAAAGGAGAGCGAGAGAGAGAGAAAAAAAAAAAACGAAAACGAATAGAAAGCTATGAGAGAAAGAAAGAGAGAACACAGACAAGATATGATGAATCCCGACTCCTCTTAAAGATCTCGACTGAAGACTTGTGTCGTGTATCATTCTCTTGTGATCACAATTTCCCCGGACGAAATTCACAATATCCGAAATCTTTGGCGTTCACCGGGTCGGATATTTATAACTTTGACAATCACTCACACAGATGGAAAGACCAAAGATGAAAGGAGGTAAAAGAATTTTAAAGGAGGGGATGTTTTTATTTATTTGTTAATCTATTATTATTATTATTATTATTATTATCATTATTATTACCATTATTATTATTATTATTATTATTAGAGAGAGAGAGAGAGAGAGAAAGAGAGAGAGAGAGAGATTCATTTTCCTTGGCGTTACTGATGGCACTCGTCAAGGTAATAATGGTAATTACTGATGATTATGATGATAATGATATAATAATAATAATAAAATAATTGCTCCTACAATTACATAACATCAACTTCTAGAGATAGAACATAATGCAGGTAGTTCGTCCGGCAGGTGTCCTCAGAGACAACAATGAACCCTAAATAGCCATTATCCTTCAGCCAGAAATACAGGAACAGATAACTTAGTTATCGAAGTAGAATTGGAGAGTCAGGTCGAACGATTATAGATTGAATAGTCTGGTCAGACGTCGGGTATTACGTGCGAATCCGTCGTTCATGAATATAAAAACTGGGTAGATTTAGAGAGAAATAAACCAGTAGCAAAAACATATTGATTCGAGATACGATGGGCGCGTATACTGCACCGCTGTGAATAATAATAAGAATTAAATGATAATGACAATTATCCCAATATCATTGATAACAATAACTTGACTAGTAATAGTTGTAGTGGTAGTAGAAGTAGAAATGATAATGATAAACTCCTTTGATTCGCTGTGAGGAAAAGTTCGAATGATTTCAAAACCCATGCTTACGTCCAGTGCCATCTGTGGAGCGCTGGAGTAACTAGTATAGTGCTAGTCCATGTGCTAATCTCCGCCTCCATCAAATTTAAGTTACTGTGTGCAATTTTGTCATGTTGCTAGGTTCTATGAATATTTCCGCGATCCGTAGGCATGCAATAAGCAGTATGAAATTACATGTGACTGAAAAAGAGATCGGTTACCGGAGCAAAAAGCGGATAATACAAAACAAGGTTTGTTTGTACTTTCCTGTCCATATAGGATTTCTTTTTTTCCTTCGAGGTCGTTTTCGACTACAGCTTTTTATCCATGTTTCAAGGATAACTACAATTTAGCCATATACAAAATATACAAAAAGTACAGTAGTGTATTTAGAATGTAAGGGATAAACCAAATGCGGTTTAAAAGGTTAACCGTTTACAAATTTACTCGAGACAAGTATATCCATTTTTCGATTTTTTTTTCTTTATAACTAGCATTATCTCTATTTGTACATTTATGAGGCTTTTACCGTAACAAGTTTCAATTCTGACTATAAAAAAAAAAATCCAGATGAAAATGTATTATATAAAAATAAATATAAAAAAGAAATCAAGAACCGAAATCATAGCAGATTACAAGGGTTTTTGAAGTGCATTGTGGCTGATTCAAGTTGAACAGCTAAGTAGCACTAATCTTATTATTGTATTTGAGACCTCTTGCTGCAATATGCCCTAGCGTAAAAAGCTTTTTAAATAGACTACGATGCCCAGTGATGCTACTGATGATGATGGTGATGATGATCATGATATGATGATGCTGATGATGGTGTGATGAGATATGCATGATGGGACGAAGTGATGAATGATGAGCGATAAGGGATGAAATGAGAAAAATGACAATGAGCCGAGAGTTATGATGAAAATAATAACAGAAAGACGGGTAAATTCCCAAGGCGAGAAAATGCAAAGCAGGCGATGAAACTAAGAAGTAGTTTCAGAAAAGGTTTCAAGAAAAAAGAAGAAACAAGACAGGGTAGTGGCTCATAACTGATCTTATTAGAATGTAAAAAAAATTCATAAGACCCGAAGATATGGTAAAGTAATATAAGCAAATCTTCGTGAAATAAATAGTCACACGTAAAAAAAAAAAGGAAAAAAGTAGGCCTACAAGAATCTTGAATCTGTCGACGACGTCCTGACGGGCGCGTGAAAAGGAATAAAGAAAATGCTCAATAAGGGATGTGTCACGTCCCTTCGAAACCCGAGTGAAAGGAAGAGGAGAGGAGGGGGAGGGGGGATCCCAAGACCAGAAGAGGGAAAATAAGCGAAACTGGCACCGGGTTCAGGTTTCGTTTTGCTATCGTAATGGGCACTTTGAGGGAACTGTGGGAACAAATTTGAACCTTATATTCTTGAGATGAGACGTGAGGTGAGGTTTTGCATGTTATCACAGAACAAAACAATATTCTTGGCTTTTAAGGTCAGCAAGTGTGGTGACGAGGCCGTAATTAACTAATTAGTTAATTACAAATCTTACGCCTCGCAGAATCTGGTATAATATATTAGTGTATCTCGTCAACAACATTATTAATGCTAGAGTATAATGAAGGAACTTCCGGAAACGTTGAGATAAACTACCCACCCATACTAACGTCGTATTAAATAAACTTCCAACAAGGAGGTTCGGAAACGTATGCAAATCCGGGAGTGACAGATATTGTACCATAGTTGTCAGTTATCGTTCGGAAATCAGTGATATGAAAATATATTAGCTAGCTTCCAGTTTCCGTGTGCGTGGTTGTCGCTAAATGGGTGTATATATATATATATATATATATATATATATATATATATATATATATATATATATATATATATATATATATATGTGTGTGTGTGTGTGTGTGTGTGTGTGTGTGTGTGTGTGTGTGTGTGTGTGTGTGTGTGGTGTGTGTGTGTGTGTGTGTGTGTGTGTGTGGTCTGTGTGTGTGTGTGTGTGTGTGTGTGTGTGTGTGTTTGATGTGTACTATGACAGCCAGTCAGGGATGCATGTTCATGAACGATACATATTTGAATTAGTTTTGCAAGTGACAACTCTATGCAGTGTGCAAGTTATTGCTTTATGAATATATTAAAACAGTTTCTTTTTTCGTCAAACTTGAGCCAGATTAGGTGTAGGGAGCGGAAGTAAGGTAGGAAGAAACTGGTTCGGGATAGTGCCTGGAGCCTGGGGGGCATCTAACGAAAGCAGCTCAGTTACTTCCAGAAATGACTACCGATTCGAAAAAAAACATTGCAAAAATAGACCATAGGTTTTCTTCATATTAATCGGTGTCGAATAGGCCTACTTATGAATTCATACGATCATGATATGTTTAATTACGACAAAAGTTGTATGAAGATAGTGGGTAATTATGATAAATGATGACGTTGATTATGATCGCATAAATAACACTGGATAAAAAAGATATATATATATAATATATATATATATATATATATATATATATATATATATATATATATATATATATATATATATATATATATATATATATATATATATATATATATATATATATATTATATATATATATATATATATATATATATATATATATAATATATATATATATATATATTATATATATTATATATATATATATATATATATATATATATATATATATATAATATATATATATATATATATATAAATTGATTTTTGAAGAAAAAAATCTTAGTAAATCGATTACATTTTTGTGATATCATCAGTAAATTTTAGTTAATATTTCTCATCTGAAATAGGTTTTTAAGAGAAAAAAATCGTTTTCTAACAGTTTACCAATCAAATACGACAAACTTCGCTTACAATAGTAGAAATTGATAAAAAAGTAAGTACATGTAAATAGAATGTTACATCATCATTGCTCAAAATTCAGGGCATGAACTTCCGTTTACAATATTAAGAGTCCAGTAGCAATCAGCCACCATGACTGCATCCCAGCGGCCCTGACACCTGGCCTCCATCTCCTTCGTGTCTTGGTGGAATCTCTCCCCTGCTCGGCACTCGTTGATCCCAGAGTCTCAGGAAACCGATCCATATGTGAGAGTAAGTAACACATCTTGATGC